TGGGAACGGAGACGAGCACCGCAACCCTAGAGTCGCATTCGACTGGCTTGTGAGCAAGGGAACCTTTACCTTTACCTTTACTTAACCGCTACACCAAATGGGCTCAGCCACATAAGGGCTGCTGCCAGAAGTGGAACCAACCACAAAAGATCAGGGAACACGGTTATATAGAACTACTTAACCCTTCAACATTTCAGGGAGAAGCGATGTTTAACAGGATGCAGTTAAAATCCACACGGCCAATCAGGAGCCCTGCTGGGCAAATGCCCCACTTGGCCCTGCCCACTTTCTGAAAGCACTTGGCGTGCACCGTGGTGCCCACCGGCAGTGTGTTGGGGACCCCTGGTCAAGGGGTTGCCTGTGGGGAAGGAACAGCACTCTGGTCACGCTAAAAGACTCTCACATCACCTGAGAGGCTAATAGATTCGTTGTGGTATAAGCCTTCAAGGACTAGAGCCCACTTCTTCAGGCACACGAGATGTGTCCTCAGCGGGCAGACAGAGCTAGAAGACCGAGCCATAGCGACAGAAAGATGTAAAATGAGAAGCCGTGCAATCCCCTTTTATTGGCACAAACCCAAATCGCACCAAACAATGGGCAAGCTCCCAAGCCTCTCCAGAACTCTTGATCAGGCTGGATGTTAAAAACGAAAGGCGGTGGGGCAAAGAAACACAAATGTTTCAGGTAGGGATGGCAAGGCCTCCTCTCTGCACCCTATGAGAAATACACTGAAGAACTGAGGCTTCCCATAGTGGTGCGAAATGCCATCAAGTCACACTTGACTTACAGTGACCCCATAGGGTTTTCAAAGCAAGAGACAAGCAGAGGTGATTTCCCATTGCCCACCTGGACTTCCTTGGTGGTATCTCATCCAAGTACTAACCAGGGCCGGCCGATGCTCATCTTCTGAGATCTGGTGAGATTGGGCTAACCTGGACAGAGTTGCATCCTTCTAAATTCTAAATCAGTGGCCTTAAACGGGCTTCACTCTGCTTGGTTGTTAATTATCTCTGCTAAACCACTGTGTGGCTTCTGTTTCTGTACTCTTCTAATTGGCTCTGCTTGCCTTGGACTGCAAGAAGATCAAATCGGTCAATCCTAAAAGAAATCAACCCTGACTGTTCCCTGGAAGGCCAGATAATGAAACTGAAGCTCAAAGACTTTGGCCACCCAATGAGAAGGGAGCACTCCCCCGAGAAGAAGACCCTGATGCTGGGAAAGATTGAAGGTCAAAGAAGACGGGGACGGCAAAGGATGAGATGGTTAGACAGTGTCATAGATGTAACGAACATGAAGTTGAGCAAACTTCAGAGGACGGTGGAAGACAGGAAGGCCTGGTGTGATCTGGTCCATGGGGTTGCGAAGAGTCGGACTCGACTGTGCGACTGAACAACAACACCATGATTAAACCTGTGTTTTCATTAAGAGAGCCCTTATCAGTTCGTCTACTCAGGTCTGTTCAAACATGCTTTCTCCAAGGAAAGTATTCTGAGGATTGTCCTGCAGATCCAATTTTCTCTTAATCCAACCTTTCCAGTCTATTAAGAGCCGGGCATCCGTCCTCACTCTGAGTAGTTTGATTAGCCTCTTGACTGGATCTTGCTTTAAACTGGATTCTCCCCTCAAAGGTTCTTGTTTGTTTTGCAGCTTTAAGGGAAACTGTGTGTTGTCTGCCTGGAGAAAGAATGACTTCATGCATCTGAGGAAGCCAGCGATGACTCACTAATACTTTGGCTGGAATAAATTTTGCTGATATTTAATGTGCCCCTGACTTGCCTCCTGCTTTATTTAGCTGAGCGAGCGTCTCTCTGAAACCATAGCGCTAGGACGGGGCCCTTAAAGGATGGGAGCAGCAGGGAAACCTGGCAGTCCTCATATGGAGAAAACTGGAGGTTGGGTATTAGGTGATGGCACTAGACCTAGGGTTGCCAACACCAGGTTGGGAAATTCCTGGAAATTGTGGTGTGTGTGAAGCCTGGGGTGGATGGTGTTTGGGGAGAGGAGATATCTCAACAGGGTGCAATGCCATAGAGGCCACCCTCCAAAGCAGCTGTTTTCTCCAGAAAAAAAAGAGATGATCTCTGTAATTCCAGATCTCCTGGGCCCACTTTGAGGTTGGCAACACTAACTAGAGTCAATCAACAGCACCACCGAAACAAAGAAATATCTCAAAACTGGGGCTGAAAAGCTCATTAAGGTGGCAGTCACACACGCGAGATGACACGGGTGGGGGGAAGCAAGGCTATTTCCCCCGGAGGAATCTGACTCACAGTTTCGCGATCACACAATCCTTTGAAGCTGCGGGGGCAGTCCACCACTGCATGGTGAGACGCCACCACAGGTGAGTCTTTTATTTTTATTTTTTTGCCGTTTGTTCCCAATGCGCTTAAATGGGGAATCGATTAATTGCATCTCAGCACGGGGGCATGATGGTGCGCATGCGCATACTGAGAAGGGGGGGGGACAACGGCACAGAGTCGGGATGGTCTGATCAGGCCACGAGAGCGCACTGCAGCGATCAGGCAGGGGAAAGTCTGTCTGTGGCCCGTAGCAACTCATTTGCTACCGGACTTTCCCTGGTGTCTTTTTACTCTGCTTCTGCGGCGGAGCAAAACGGGTTGCTGGGACACTTCCCAGATATTCGTGTCTGATCGCACTCTTTAAATCTGCCTGGCATTCGTGCCTATGGCGCGGCTAATTGTGCGTGTGATCGCGCCCTATGATAAAAATATGAGAAATAAAAGTGGTTTCTTAATGTATGGTAATATGGTCAATGCTCAGAGGAAACGAGTCCTGGCAAGATATTAGAGATGAAGGAATCAATATTCAATGGCTATTATATCGCCAATTAGTTTCAAGATTAAAGAAGATCATTAACACGGAAGGGGAGCTATAAGAGAGATGACTAGGTTTGAACAGCTGATTACAAAACAAAAGGATCACCTATTACGATGGATATGCAAGTTATTATTTCAGATAGAAACAGAAGAAGTGGAAAAGATGTATGATTAAATGGATGCAGAACTTTAGAGGGCAAATACCTATGCATCAACAAGAATAATTATGGGAAAAAGACATTAAATTTACTGCCAGCCAGGTGCTAAGAGCAAATTGGTAAAAAATGTTTTTCAGATGGCATATCACCCCAAGGATATCAAGAAAGTAGATAAAAGTTACAAAGGAAAATGCTGGACATGTCAAGATATAGCTGGAATTTTTTACCATATGTGGTGGACTTGTAAAAAAACAAAAAAGAGGAAGGAAATACATGGGAAAGTGCAGAATATATTACAATTCAAATTCCCCATGGAAGCTAAGTCATGTTATTAGGAATACTGCCTAATAAATTACCAAAAGTTTTGTAAGAGATAGGCTGCGGTCACACACGTGAGATAATGCAGGCGGGAAGTGAGGATAGTTTATTGCATTTCCTCATAGTAAGCATAACAAGATGAGAGTCCAATATAGTACCATAACAAAGATACATCAATAATTAATAAATTAACCAAAATACATCAAGGCTAATCTAGATACATACAATAAGTAGTAAGTAAATCCTATTTTCCTTTTCTCTGTTTGAATCTGGATATTAAAAGTACCAAAAGATCTTTCAAAATGATAGAGTATCAATTACATCAAGAATATCAACTTGTTCTGTCAGACAGTCTAAAATGAACCAAATTGCTACAAAGTTAGATGAAGATGTTTGGGAGGTAAGGCACGGATAAGTTGTCCGTGATTTTGGCCATGATATAAAGGTCCCATAACTTTTTATGCCAGAGCAACAGGTCCAGTAATATTTTATCTTTCCAGTGTGAAGGTATAGCTGATTTTGCAGCAAACAAAAGGATATGGTTTCAAAAGAAAAGAGGGGGCAAGGACCAGTTTTCCATCTGTTAAGAGACAGATGATCTGGAGTAGAATTTCAATACCAGTTATGTTTTGGATTTGTGTAAGGACCTGTTCTCAGGACGCTGGAATGTAAGGACAATAAGGCAAGCAGGACCGATAATCTCCTTGCTGTCCGCACTTTTTCCAACAAAAGAGACTCAATGAATGAAAGATATCAGTCAACTTTCGCAGTGTAAGGTACGGTACCAGAGTGACAACTTAAGTGCTTGAAGTTTCATTGACAGCATTTTAGAATTAAACGGAGACTTGCCCATATATTCTCCCAGTCTGTCCTTGTTAAGTCTGCAGCAGAATAATCAGAAGGTTTGATATTTGAATTGGGATATTTCGATCTGATCACATAAAGCAGTATATAAATATATTCTTTATATGTAACAGATTTTCCTTAAAATTTTGGTATATTATAAAAGGCTAAGCAATAAAGGCTAAGGTTCCGTGTGCCTAGGTGTTTAGTCATGCCAGCCACATGACCACGGAAATGTCTTCGGACAGCGCTGGCTCTTCGGCTTTGAAACGGAGATGAGCACTGCAACCCTAGAGTCGGACTCGACTGGCTTTCGAGCAAGGGAACCTTTACCTTTACCTTGAGCAATAAATAGTAGGTAGAATCGAGGAACTATTTAACACAGAATATGTAGCAATGATGAAATTAAGAATACAGTTGTAAAACAGATAGGTTATGAAATCTGGTATCTAAAATGTTTGAAATGTCTTAAAAATTATGTTTGTTTTTGTATGGGACTTATATGTATTGTCTTGTTGTGCTTGGTAAATAACATTATTTTTAAAAATGTCCTAAGAATTATAATGAAGGGGAGTTGGGGAGAAATATTTTACAGAATATTTTATATATTCTGTGTGTGTGTGTGTGTGTGTGTAAAATAATCAACACTGGGGCTAACAATGAAAGAAACTCGTGACATTTGCATTCACACGAGCCTCAGACTAGGTGTGAGCCTCAGACCTGGGGTTGGGGGCGAAGAGGTATTTAAAGCGAACGCGATCCAGGCCAAGCCAGCCGAAGGCCTCAGCCGAAGGCACCACCTCCATCTATAGGGGGTGGTGGCCAAGGTCTACGGCGGGTCACCATGGCGACGATCAAGGCACCGTTTGTGCGCTTGCGCCGGCCCGGCTCATTGATCAGCACGCCCTGCGGCACTTCGACGTCCCCGCTCCCCCCTCCCCCGCGCGTCTGGGCCTGTCTCACGCAGGCGCGCTTCACTCGCTCCTGGCGTTATTTCCCCCCCCCTTCGTCTCCCTTCCGCGCGGCTCCCGCCGCGCAGGCGCGGCGGCGCGCGGCGAAGCCTCGGAGGGGCGGCGGCGGGCGGGCAGCGAGG